ATCTGTCATGGGCCCCTGTACACCTCCTCATGCTGCTGCCAGGTCCAGAGTGTGTCATGGGTCCCTGTACGGCCTCCCATTGCTGCTGTCTCCATCGCCACACTCTGCCATGTGCCACTTTCAGGTCTCCTCACACTGCTGGTGGGTTCCATTTTGTCATAGGGTGCTGGCTGATTACGGGCCTCCCATTGCTGCTGCCAGGCCCGTAATCTGTCATGGGCCCCTGTACCGCCTCCTCATGCTGCTGCCAGGTCCAGAGTGTGTCATGGGTCCCTGTACGGCCTCCCATTGCTGCTGTCTCCATCGCCACACTCTGCCATGTGCCACTTTCAGGTCTCCTCACACTGCTGGTGGGTTCCATTTTGTCATAGGGTGCTGGCAGATTACGGGCCTCCCATTGCTGCTGCCAGGCCCGTAATCTGCCATGGGCCCCCGTACTGACTCCTCATGCTGCTGCCAGGCCGTAATCTGTCATGGGCCCCTGTACCGCATCTCCTCATGCTGCTTTGCCAGGTCCAGAGTGTGTCATGGGGTCCCTGTACGGCCTCCCATTTGCTGCTGTCTCCATCGCCACACTCTGCCATGTGCCACTTTCAGGTCTCCTCACACTGCTGGTGGTGGGTTCCATTTTGTCATAGGGTGCTGGCAGATTACGGGCCTCCCCATTGCTGCTGCCAGGCCCGTAATCTGCCATGGGCCCCGTACCGACTCCTCATGCTGCTGCCAGGCCCGTAATCTGTCATGGGCCCCTGTAACCGCCTCCTCATGCTGCTGCCAGGTCCAGAGTGTGTCATGGGTCCCTGTACGGCCTCCCATTGCTGCTGTCTCCATCGCCACACTCTGCCATGTGCCACTTTCAGGTCTCCTCACACTGCTGGTGGGTTCCATTTTGTCATAGGGTGCTGGCAGATTACGGGCCTCCCATTGCTGCTGCCAGGCCCGTAATCTGCCATGGGCCCCCGTACCCTCATGCTGCTGACAGGCCCGTAATCTGTCATGGGCCCCTGTACCGCCTCCTCATGCTGCTGCCAGGTCCAGAGTGTGTCATGGGTCCCTGTACGGCCTCCCATTGCTGCTGTCTCCATCGCCACACTCTGCCATGTGCCACTTTCAGGTCTCCTCACACTGCTGGTGGGTTCCATTTTGTCATAGGGTGCTGGCAGATTACGGGCCTCCCATTGCTGCTGCCAGGCCCGTAATCTGCCATGGGCCCCGTACCGCCTCCTCATGCTGCCTGCTGTCAGGTCCAGAGCCCTCCTCATGTGTCCATGGGTCCCTGTACGGCCTCCCATTGCTGCTGTCTCCATCGCCACACTCTGCCATGTGCCACTTTCAGGTCTCCTCACACTGCTGGTGGGTTCCATTTTTGTCATAGGGTGCTGGCAGATTACGGGCCTCCCATTGCTGCTGCCAGGCCCGTAATCATGTCCATGGGCCCCCGTACTGTTTTGGGCCCCTGACCGCCTCCTCATGCTGCTGCCAGGTCCAGAGTGTGTCATGGGTCCCTGTACGGCCTCCCATTGCTGCTGTCTCCATCGCCACACTCTGCCATGTGCCACTTTCAGGTCTCCCACACTGCTGGTGGGTTCCATTTTGTCATAGGGTGCTGGCAGATTACGGGCCTCCCATTGCTGCTGCCAGGCCCGTAATCTGCCAATGGGCCCCCCGTACCCGACTCCTCATGCTGCTGCCAGGCCCGTAATCTGTCATGGGCCCCTGTGCCGCAGATTAGGGCCTCCTCATTGCTGCTGCCAGGTCATCTGCCATAGGCCGCCTATATTAGTGTGTCATCCAGGGTCCCTGTACGGCCTCCCATTGCTGCTGTCTCCATGCCACACTCTGCCATGTGCCACTTTCAGGTCTCCTCACACTGCTGGTGGGTTCCATTTTGTCATAGGGTGCTGGCAGATTACGGGCCTCCCATTGCTGCTGCCAGGCCCGTAATCTGCCATGGGCCCCCGTACCGACTCCTCATGCTGCTGCCAGGCCCGTAATCTGTCATGGGCCCCTGTACCGCCTCCTCATGCTGCTGCCAGGTCCAGAGTGTGTCATGGGTCCCTGTACGGCCTCCCATTGCTGCTGTCTCCATCGCCACACTCTGCCATGTGCCACTTTCAGGTCTCCTCACCACTGCTGGTGGGTTTCCATTTTGTCATAGGGTGCTGGCAGATTACGGGCCTCCCATTGCTGCTGCCAGGCCCGTAATCTGCCATGGGCCCCCGTACCGACTCCTCATGCTGCTGCCAGGCCCGTAATCTGTCATGGGCCCTGTACCGCCTCCTCATGCTGCTGCCAGGTCCAGAGTGTGTCTTGGGTCCCTGTACGGCCTCCCATTGCTGCTGCCAGGCCCGTAATCTGCCATGGGCCCCCGATTACGGGACTCCTCATGCTGCTGCCAGGCCCCTGTAATCTGTCATGGGCCCCTGTACCACCGCCTCCTCATGCTGCTGCCAGGTCCAGAGTGTGTCATGGGTCCCTGTACGGCCTCCCATTGCTGCTGTCTCCATCGCCACACTCTGCCATGTGCCACTTTCAGGTCTCCTCACACTGCTGGTGGGTTCCATTTTGTCATAGGGTGCTGGCAGATTACGGGCCTCCCATTGCTGCTGCCTGCCCAGGCCCGTAATCTGTCATGGGCCCCTGTACCGCCTCCTCATGCTGCTGCCAGGTCCAGAGTGTGTCCCATGGGTCCCTGTACGGTCCTCCATTGATGCTGCTGTCTCCATCGCCACACTCTGCCATGTGCCACTTTCAGGTCTCCTCACACTGCTGGTGGGTTCCATTTTGTCATAGGTGCTGGCAGATTACGGGCCTCCCATTGCTGCTGCCAGGCCCGTAATCTGCCATGGGCCCCCGTACCGACTCCTCATGCTGCTGCCAGGCCCGTAATCTGTCATGGGCCCCTGTACCGCCTCCTCATGCTGCTGCCAGGTCCAGAGTGTGTCATGGGTCCCTGTACGGCCTCCCATTGTTTGCTGCCAGGCCCGTAATCTGCCATGGGCCCCCGTACCGACTCCTCATGCTGCTGCCAGGCCCGTAATCTGTCATGGGCCCCTGTACCCACCTCCTCATGCTGCTGCCAGGTCCAGAGTGTGTCATGGGTCCCTGTACGGCCTCCCATTGCTGCTGTCTCCATCGCCACACTCTGCCATGTGCCACTTTCAGGTCTCCTCACACTGCTGGTGGGTTCCATTTTGTCATAGGGTGCTGGCAGATTACGGGCCTCCCATTTGCTGCTGCCAGGCCCGTATCTGTCATGGGCCCCTGTACCGCCTCCTCATGCTGCTGCCAGGTGCAGAGTGTGTCATGGGTCCCTGTACGGCCTCCCATTGCTGCTGTCTCCATTGCCACACTCTGCCATGTGCCACTTTCAGGTCTCCTCACACTGCTGGTGGGTTCCATTTTGTCATAGGGTGCTGGCAGATTACGGGCCTCCCATTTGCTGCTGCCAGGCCCGTAATCTGCCATGGGCCCCCGTACCGACTCCTCATGCTGATGCCAGGCCCGTAATCTGTCATGGGCCCCTGTACCGCCTCCTCATGCTGCTGCAGGTCCAGAGTGTGTCATGGGTCCCTGTACGGCCTCCCATTGCTGCTGTCTCCATCGCCACACTCTGCCATGTGCCACTTTCAGGTCTCCTCACACACTGCTGGTGGGTTCCATTTTGTCAATAGGGTGCTGGCAGATTACGGGCCTCCCATTGCTGCTGCCAGGCCCGTAATCTGCCATGGGCCCCCGTACCGACTCCTCATGCTGCTGCCAGGCCCGTAATCTGTCATGGGCCCCTGTACCGCCTCCTCATGCTGCTGCCAGGTCCAGAGTGTGTCATGGGTCCCTGTACGGCCTCCCATTGCTGCTGTCTCCATCGCCACACTCTGCCATGTGCCACTTTCAGGTCTCCTCACACTGCTGGTGGGTTCCATTTTGTCATAGGGTGCTGGCAGATTACGGGCCTCCCGTTGCTGCTGCCAGGCCCGTAATCTGTTGTGGGCCCCTTGTACCGCCTCCTCATGCTGCTGCCAGGTCCAGAGTGTGTCATGGGTCCCTGTACGGCCTCCATTGCTGCTGTCTCCATCGCCACACTCTGCCATGTGCCACTTTCAGGTCTCCTCACACTGCTGGTGGGTTCCATTTTTTCATAGGGTGCTGTATGGCCTCCCATTGCTGCTGCCTCCACCGCCACACTGTGGCTCCAAACACTGGTTTTGGCCCCGTGACTGCCCCAAAATGAGTGAAGTGTGCGGTGATTCTTAGATCGACGGCACTCATCTGCATGTCATACTGACTGACAGTATTATGTTGCCATGGTTTTTCTCTTCCCCAGCAGACTCCAAGGGCATTTTTAAATTAAAGGTACAGTGTTCTGCACTAATATAAAGGCTCTCTGAAGCCTAGAAACACCCTTTTTATAAGTTAAATTCGCAGCGAATATATTCGACTCGAATCGAATTTTATTCCGCGAATTCGCAGAATCAGCCAAATCGAATTTTTGAATAATTCGCTCATCTCTAGCTGCTATATTATAAAAATACATTTTGCTAGCATATGTTTCTACCAGATATTCATTTCCATGCATTAGCACAGGTCACAATCATTGGTAGCTAGTGGCTATAATTTACTGTCCAATTGCTAATAGCTGTGTATTATGCTTTGTTTCTTTAAATGGATTATGTTCTGTAAGCTGTTGCATATTTACAGTCTGAGAATATTTATTGCGTTACAAGGTAAGCTTTGAGATACATATTAGCATGTCTGCATATTCATTTAAAGTCTTTGGGATGTAAAATAATGGCTGTAATCTGAGCTTTTGTTCTCTCTATGCAGTGACTGCATCAAAGCCCTTTCCCAAATCTGTTATGGTTCTCTGTTCTGACTTTCAGGTTATGATAAATTTACATGCATTTTCTCTTTCAACATAAAAGAGGCAGTTCCTATGAATTTTGTCCTCGAAATATTCTGAAAAAGAACATGTTTCTGAGCATTGTCTCTGCATATTATAATTTTTTGGAATTTAAATAGTTTACTTGCACTCCTATGTTTGCTTTAGGAAAATGATGAATACTTCAAAGAGCTAAGCATGGAATCCGGACTGGCAATGTGACACCTGTGGATTTTGCCAGAAAAGCTGCTGTGTCTGAAAAGGCTTGGTGAGTTATTTTGGCTACTCAACCCAATCCAACTTTTTTTAAAAAATAAAATTTAAAAAAAAATCATCAATTACAATCAATGGGGATGTATAGTGATATATATATATATATATATATATATATATATATATATATATATATATGTGGTCGTTTAGCCAATAAATTGTTGGTGTGGAAGGAAACAGGCAAATCTTATAGCATTCCAAACATTGTTCCCCTGTGTTTGCACTTTCCCACACTGTATGAGTGCCTGCTACACAGAGCACATGGGCTGTAAACATTTTCTCTTCTGCCATACACTCACTATAACCAATCAAGCCTACATGCATTTAACTTTGGCAGATTCATGCTTACTTAGGCCATATTTGCTCAGTGGCCCTGTTGGTAACACCAAGATCAAAGAATTTTGATTTTGCAGTGAAAGCCAGGTGGAACATTTTTAGGACCTATATCCAATCAGATACAGACTCTGTTTGGGCATTCTGACAGTCAGCAGCACTGGCTGTTATAACACAATAGTCTGCAGCAGGAGATTCATCTATTCACTCTGTTGGCCATGTGTGTATTGCCAGTTTTAGGGGAGCTGCTGCTGCATGGGAGTGGAGGAGCTGTTGTATGCATTGACTGTGTACCACTCTGTGCAAGGAAGCAGCACAGTCTGTATAGTGGCTAACTGGGATAGTGCCAAAGACAGCAAGAGCAGCGGCATCACTATGGGGGAAACTTTATCATTGAACAGCAGCTCCGCCTCTGAGATCTACCTTCCAGCTCCACCCCCAACTCTGGCTCTTGCTTCTTGCCTCCAGCCAAGCTGCTCCTACCGTGCCGATAAGGTTAGAGAGACCCCTCCTGCTTCCACCCAGTAGCCAAACCTGACTCTTCTATACAGTGCCCACTGTATAACATAGTGTGTGTCCAGGTGTCCTCCTGTCACTCTGCCCACCTCCTGTGACACTGCATTATAAGTGTTCATTAACACTAGGCACTTTAAGCGCTTAAGCATTTTTTTTTTTTTCATTTTAATGGCTAGAATAAATTAATATTCTGTCCAACAAAATGAAACCCAAGTGCTTGAGGCACCTAAAAAGTTTGAAAAGACACAGCTTAGGAGTGTTTTTTTCAGCTGCTTGTCTCTTGACAGAAGAAAAGCATTTAGAAGAGGCACAGTGTGCATGAAGCCTTAGGTGACAGGAGAGGGAGCTTGCAGAGTGCTGTCTGAATGTACAGAGTGGGTATCTCATCGCAGTACTGGCTATACCTTCTATTAGCAGCCTGGCCTCTAACGGGGGTGATTGACTCACCTTCTCTATCTACATCTATGCAATGTCTAATTGTAGCAGCTATCAACCAAAATCACTCACAGTAAATAGGGAATCTTATGTACCACATTTGTTAATAATAATTCGCAATACAATTTCAAACTTTGCAGAAGGATTGAAACGGGCTTTACTGCTTCTTTTTTTGAAGATATTTGATTAGGTGCCTCAAGCTATTATGATTCTGCAGGAAAGGTCCTCCACTGCTGCTTGTCTCTAACTTATTTCTCATTGTTCACAATGAATTTCCTCATCCAGCATACGTCTGATAACACTTTTGGCCTGGAAAACATCATAATGACTAACATCTTTATTGAAAAAAAGCAAAGGCAGGCCGAAATGTGCTAATAGTGAAACAAATGATTATCAGACTCCATCCTAATAGAGCCAAATCACTCAGCAGCTCTGCCTACAGGAATCATACATTAGACAAATACATTCCCCTTCTGTGTATAATTGTTTCAGGCTGCTCATTATCTCAGACTTTTGTTAAAATGATGCATTTGAAAGGCAGTAGGAATATTAAAATGTCATGTTAACTGTAGGCACATCTACTTGAAAAGTACTTTTTATTTCACGTATATGAGGGGGTATCTGTTCAGAAAAAAAAAATTAAAATATAAATATTTGATAGGTCCCCACAATCTGACTTGGAAATGACAAATATAATTCCATCTATTTATTTTGATTCAGGTATCATGCTGCATTCAGCATGTAACCTAGATGCTAAACAGTAATTAGGAAAATCTCCAATCAAAATGGTTGAGTTTGTTTCAACTAGAGCAGAAATATGCAGCCTGTGCAAGTGTATATTGCTATCATTCTAGCGCCTTTACTACCTGCACTGCTACCTGTGATTAAAGTAGAAATATAGGCAAAACCTTTATTTTCATTTTGGATAGAGTAAGGGAGGGTCATAACCCCTGTCAGTTTATTTTTTTGCCATCTTTGTCACATTGCACAGATGTCCCTTCACTTCCTGTCCCATAGCCAAACAGAAAGAGTAAGGATATCCCTGTAAATTAAGAGGATTCCTTGGGGACCCTCAGGTCTCCAAAACTAGTGTCCCCATTGGAAGATTTCCCTTCTATTCATTTTCTGCGGACAGCCCAAAATTTTAGTTTTCTTTCACTTTTAATGATAATGGTGAACAGGACATATAGACAGGGCGAATCTCCTTAAGGGGGGTATCAATAAACATTGACAAGTATTGTAATTCCTCTCCATGCTAACCACAACTAAAAAAAAAAAATTGCCTTTAGTTATACTATAACACCTATCACATTGGAAAGAGAGAGTACAGTGGCTAGTACTTATGTCTTGCCATTTTTGGTTCAAATCTCATCCAGGATATCATCTGCATAGAGTTTGCATGTTTTCCCTGTGTTTGTGTGGATTTCCTCCATCTACTCTAGTATCCTCACACACTCTAAAAACATGTCTAAATTGGCCTTTGTATGTGCAAATTAACTATGCACATGTGTTATCACATTCTGCATGCC